CGTCGCACACGAACGGCATTTGGTGTACGATCGCAACATCTTCTCGCATATGTTGTACCATATCGAGCAGAGTGTCCTCCCGCATTCGAATTCCAGCATCGCTTATTAAAATCATGGGATATTTTGCCGCCAAATATGCCGGTTGCATGTTGTTGATTTTGGGATTAACCCCGACGCACATCCCGCCGATGAAAAGCCGCGCTTCAATATGTGGATACTTGTGTAAAAGACTGTTCACCAACATTACGGCAGGATCATGTTCACTCTCCACACAAAATAAGACTTCGTAGGTTGGGTAATCGAGGGTGAAGAATGTTTCCAAGTTAGAAAATAAATTGGGATCCACACCAGTCAAAGGCTTTAGTATTGAAACTCCTGGATATGGTTGTTCTGGAGGCGACCGGTCTACTGTTCTGTGTAATTTCCATTTAGAATACGATAAAGCCATTATGTGAATTAACCACAGACACACCCAAGCTATTATAAAAAATATGGCAAAACCATATACTGTATACACCATGGGGATCATAATTGAAAAGCTTTTATGTCGCTTTGGCTTGCGGGCCACATAATATCGACTGCTTTGAGGAGACCGAACCGTGCGCTATGATCATATCATAACACTTAACTAATGTAGAACAAGATAGCCGAAGTAAAATAACTGAATGTAATGATTCACTGGATATTATCGCGTCATTTTTATCACCAGAACACTTTGCGATCGCTTTTATCACGAATTCACGATTGTATTTTACGACAAACTGTTCATTTCATACAGCACAACACAAGGACAACCAATCCTCGACAATTTGCCGTCAATCCAACGAATGTCAATGTTGACATGTTGTAAATTAAAAATGTTACCAAAATCCCTACAAACAAACCAAGCATTTGGTATTATTTTAGTTCTTGCAAACGTTCGTTTGTTACATTGTTAGTTATGTTACAAAAATTTAAGGTTACTAAAGTTTACAGCGGATTATGAGAATTTTGAAGTTTATAGAAATTATTGTGACAAGAATAAACTTTCAAATTGTTGTTTAGATTACTAAAAAAACACTTATTAGGAATCTTTTAAATTTTATAGATCAAAGTCTTTCTTAAAATACGCCTAAGTCGTTGTCCCTAAACTATGTTTTTATTAATAAAATACATTCTTCCATAGCATCCTACTAAAATAAGTAAAGTGTTTACTTATGGCAATAATAGCATAGCACACTCTATATTCTATTTTTCATTATCTTTGGTTCTTTTATGATCTGTATTTTTATTATCTATCTCGCGTCAGCGATGTTCCCGCTTTTAACAAAAAATTTAAATTCAATATTGTGGTTTTTCAATTTTTCTAATTCAAAATGGAAGTGATTGAGGATTTTAAAACAGTAACTAATTTAAACGAGTATATGCAAAAATCTCAGTATTTTGTCTCTAATTTTGCAAGTTCTAAAATAGAATTGAACATGACAACAATACAAGCATTAAACAAAATAAAATCATTTGAAATTGAGGTAAAACTTAAATAATGTGCATGATGCAAATACCTTTTGCAATTAAAACTAAAAACTGCTTTCCTTGCGTGTTTTAGTATTTCAATAAATATGATGAGAACGGTGCTGCAACTAAAATCTTTCATCTTTTGTTGCTAAATCCGCCATCAAAAGCATGGGATTTACTAGGAAAAGAGTTAATTTTAGTTCTACAGTACTGGTTAAATGCTCTGCGCAAGCATCTGATTATGCATAGTAACAACTGGTGGCCTTTTTTGAAATCGATACTGAAGTTTGTACAGGTATTTATTATAATTTTTTTTACATAACAACAACATAGTTGAATGTGAAATGATAACTACACTTTTTGATACCATAGATAAGTATCAATTCGATCTTTTCGCGCCATAGGCATAAAAAGTAAGACAATTTTTAGGTGGGTCCCATCTTACCGACTCTTTACTATTGATTGCAACTTTACCCCGTAGGATCAGTTCTAATAGTCTTATATAGTCAACATTTTTCACATTACAATATTTAAATATGTTGCAGGAATTAGGACTAAAAGAGAATAATCTTAATGATGTAATTATAATGAAGACCGCGGAGTGTCTACTAGAACTGGCTACCCATACAAAACCCGATATCAACCAGCGATATAAGATCCTTTCAGCTTTGAATGCGTGTAACGTCGCTTGCAGCAGGGAAATACGTATCGCGTTAAGGCAACAACTTGAAATCTATTTGTAAGTTTGTTTATAATAGTTGGTTAGGGCCATAGCTAGGGGAAGGGAATTTGGCCTTCTTTTAAAAATATTTAAAGGTAAAATAACTTATTATTAAATTATTTGTTCATAGTTTGAGAGAAAAAAAATATAGCCATGGGTATCTAAACTTTTCCGAACATATCAGTTTATTACATGTGAAGGGGAATCACCTTTTTTAACCTGACCTTGGCCCGTACTTCAAGGGCAAATATTTGTACCACCTTACCTTTAACATTACTGATCTACCACAAATCCGACTCTATGTACAGCCTTGTTCCTTTGTTTTACTTCTAGCTATCTTACTTTGTAAATCGTACCTTACTTCTTATCTTACTTCTTACTAATATTATAAATGCGAAAGTTTAGATGGATGGATGTTCGTTGGAGTTAGCCAAAACGGCTTAACGGATCTGGATGAAATTTAGCACAGATTTAGAGGATAGTGTGGAAGAACACATAGGCTTGCTTTTGTTTTTTTTTTATAATTTTGCGGACGGATCCGCCTGCGAAAGCTACTAATAACCTTTTTCTATTGTCCAATGGATACTCATATACAGGTTTTTATTTATTTTTGACCGACTTCCCAAAAGAAGGAGGTACTCAATTCGTCTGTATGTTTTTTTTTAAAGTATAAAACTTGCAAGTTTATTATCATCGTGTGGTGATGCCGCTGTCCAGTACAGCATAATGGAAACATTACTCCGCTGGTTGTTACCAAGATATGTGCAGGAAGTGAGAAAAGATGCGGCAATAAAATGGTTCCCCAACCACTTATATGATAAAGAGACTGTGACTTTATTTGTTGAGAGGCCTTGGAAGGATTTTTTTCAGGTATTAAGGGATTCAAAATTTATTACGATTCGAGTTTAGCCACGCGTTCTTGTTCTAATCAACATGTCTGTAGATTTTGTTTTGCGTAGCGTCTTGTACGTTTCGAGATATTATAAAGTTTGAATAGGACTATACTTGTTCGAAACATTAAATTTATTTTTCTGCAACGATATTGTCTTCATATATGTAATAAAGATTTTATAAAGAGATTATTGTATTTATGGTTTAATTTTGAATATTTCTGTTGAACAATTTTTCTTTGGTTAAAAATTTTTTGACTGGTTTCATTTACTTTAGGATACAAGGGACTTTCTGAACGCGCACAACTCTCGCAACGATCTGGTAACTTCGGTTGTTTGCAAGAAATTAAAAATCGGACATATTGCTGTCATTACGGTGAGTTATTTCAAGTTTTTACATACATTTTATTAGTTTCTTAAATAAGAATTGAAATCTAAGAAAAAAAAAACATCAACGAATTTATATTTTTCTTTTGGGATGTCGGTTAAAAAAAAGTTCTGTAAAGAAATTAAAAAATCTGAAATACGATTTATTTCACACACTTGTTCAGTACAGTTTTGCAGCGCACAATAGGACTGTCAGTCAACTGGCGCAGTGTGAACGCTAACTGGCGCCAGTGCCTCCATACAATCTATGTCTGTCGCAACTGTCCTGGCCAAGTATGGACCGGGCATTATAGTTGGGTTTTGTGTAAGGAAACTAAGGAAAAGGATCCGAAGTATTGAATTACGCATACACGTGGCTTTGATCTAGAGAAGGCAGTTACCAAATATATAGTTCTATTTGTACATTTATATTTATTTTGATTTTTTGGAGTCTTAGACTGCCCCCTTTACCCTAACCCTTTTGCTACCCCCTAACTGTTCCCTAACCTCCCAATATCTCCATGTATCTTGGTGACGAAGTTGCAAAGATTTTAAGGCAGTGCTATCAACAAACAAAATAAATCAATAAAAAAGCGTTGATTACTAGAATCTTTATACCGCTTTTAGGGTTCAGAGAAATTCAACAATTGGCTAGATTTGAATACGAGCACTGAATGCCTGTCGTTGATGTTAGAGCCGCGTGTGCTGCGCGCGCTGCGCTGCGAACCGCAGCAAGACGCGTGCGAAGCACTAGTTATTTACCAACTTAATACTGATGTTATTAAGTTACGAAAGTAAGAGAACTTTAATAAACTACATCTATCTTTATCTTTATCTATACTAATATAATAAAACTATTTTGAGACGTATGACGTCAGCAATCACAGCATAATTTTAAATAATACAGATTTTTATAAAAAGCCTTACGCTTAAGACACGCTATATATATGTTTTCACGCTTTTTCATTTAGGGGGTGAATAAATTGGAATAAATGTAATGCGAGAAAGGGACAAAGTACAAGCCAAATAGCAGCAAAGATTGCCATGGTGACGGTAATTGTTAGCCAATAGCAAAGACTGTCATTTGTGCATTTGAATTTTGACATTTGCAATTTTAACTATTAGTTATATAAGTAAATAATAAATAAAGTTTTTTTACAATTTCATACAGTTAAAAGCACACGGGATCAGGTTTGTATAAGTAAGATTTTACAATTCTCTAAGAGAAAAGGGCTTATATAAATATGTAATAATTACAGACTAGGTGATGAAATATCTATTTTCGTAAAAACATTAAACCCGGCACATTTGATACCGTCTGCAGTCAGCCTAAATAATGAAAACTGCAACGAAATAAATATTATAATTAGTTCTAAATGCGACATAGGCAAAGTTGATTCAGCATTACGAAGGATTTTTGCTGATAAATATCAGGTATACTTCATTTATGTATTTACTAGCTTTCGTCCGTGACTGTTCTCGCGGAATTAAAAAAAAATAGTTAATAGTCTGTGTTATTCCAGATTATATTCTACATCTGTGATAATTTGTTAAGATCCTTTCAGCTGTTTAGGCTACAAAATCTAATAAACGTCCATACATACTTCCGAATTTATTATATTAATAGTCGAATTTAATATTTTTTTAAAAATTGTATACAGATGTCAAATGTCACAGTCGTTTATTGTCTATGGATTTATTTTTGTGTTTAAATTGATGTTAAAAAATGTCTATTCTTAATAAGTCTGTGATTACAACTTTAAAAACAAAATCCAAACAATTTTTTTTGTCTAAATATAGGTACTTTTTGACATTGAAAATGGAATTTCCGTATCCCCGCAAAAGGAAATTATTCGTCAAGATATATCTGTAAGTGCTTATAAAAACAATTAACAATATTGCATTTAAAATTATTATGAATTTTTGGTAATAAATGAATTTTTGTAAAAAAAAACAAAGTAGGTACTTTTTTATAATAAGTTATTTAAAAACAAAATTAATTTCTAATGTCAATTTGTCGTAATGTAATATTTGAGGGTAGTTAAAAATATGATAATGCTTCTGTGATTGTGTTTAGGAGGAAGATACGACATTCTCAATTCCACAAGAACGTAATAAAACAAAAACAGGTAAAGTATATCTATTTATATACAACTATATTATATAAAGTTATGAATGTACAATAATCTTTTTGTTCAAATATTATATATATATAATCTTTTATTTCGAAATACAGTTGGATTTAAATAAAAATATTGCTTGAAAAAATACTTGATTAGTACCAAAAAGCATGAAATAATAAGTGAAGAAAGTTGGCACGTGGTTTCAAAGAGTATTCTTGTTATTAACGTGCCAAGTCGAATACTAAAAACTATAGTTTAAAAATTAATATTTTCACAGTAATTTCATACTTTTTATTCCTTAGTAATTCATATCTGAAATATTCGAGGAATAGGATTTTGTAGGCGTATTAAAGATTAGTACAGGGCTGACAAAATAAGGCCCGCAAACCTCTTGAAATACTTTTTAACAATATGTCAACTTTCATAATATGCTTTCTTGAATAAGTTGATTTTTTTTAAGTAAAACAATCTTTAATATTATCATAAAGTTTTTTAGCCTTTTATTATCTGTCAGATATATAAAATGGAATTAGGCATAGTATTTTTTTTTATTCGCATATTATTATGTACTTTTTTTATAGGATACGTTGTTAAGTCAAAGGCTATTGGTTCATCATCATTGACGTCATCGACATCGACCACGTCATTGGCACAGGTAAATAATAATGGGTACTAATTTGTGAAAAAATCATAAAAATGTAAACACTAAACGGTTCCAACTTCTTGTATACGAGATTTTCGGCGAAAATAGGCACCAAATCATATCATACTTCATACTAATATTATAAATACGAAAGTTCAGATAGATGGATGTTTGTTAGAGTTTGTAGCCTAAACGGCTGAACGGATCTCAATGAAATTTGGCATTTAGAGGATAGTCTGGAAGAACACATAGCCTACTTACTTTTTTTATACTTCCACGCGGACGGAGTCGCGGGCGAAAGCTAGTATTGAATAATTAATTAAAACAGATATACTAAAAACTGATGACATAAAAAATAGATATATTAAAGAATATACCGGAAGTTTTCGATGAGGATCATGTTTTTATTTTTTTTAAGAGAATGAGATATAGCTAGTTAACATATATTTTAAAAATAGTTAAGTATACAACTAGAAAGTAACTCATGTCCGTAACTAATATGTAGATTTATTTTCAATAGTTTTTTTTTACAACTGATAAAATATTTATTAATTACAGCTTCACGAGAAATTAAAGGAATTGCCGTTTTATGATATACAACGTAATCGTACGAAGATTTGTCCCGCTTTGTCAACAATCACTGAATTGTCAGAAGACAGTTGTGTCAGCAATAGCACGTTTAGATTTAAATCTTTTGGTGTATGTCAGAAGAATACTTTTCTTCAAGCGAAAAAAACTGAAACCAAAGTAAATGAGAACAAAAAAACGAAATCACCAGCTATAACTGACGAAGAAAATAGTGTTAGCTGTCTATTCGTAGCTACAATCGGTTCTGCAGACGAATCCGTGATAAATGATACTCTAGAAAGATTACCTAGAAATAGAAATCCAGAAAATATCATAGAAGATTTAATACAAGAAGCTTTGAATGCCAAAAATGTTGGCGCTGACGAAAATAATGCTAATTTACAGGATAATGTACCAGATAAACCTGTTTTAAAAGAAATTACCAATGAAATATCAAATAAAAGAAAATCTTGCACAGTAATAAGTAATTCGACATCAGAAGAAATCGAAGGCACTCAGTTTAGTACAATTTACCATAAAAGAAATATTAAAGAGAAATTCGTAATGAATGAAACTGAAATATATCCCGTTAAAGTTTCTAATGATAAGGTAGAAGAATTCTTTTCACAACATTTCTCTAATAATCCTGTTGTTGAGGAAATAAATCCTTCGTTAGCGAAGAAACATAACGAGACGGAATCAGAGTCGAGTGAAGAAAACCCACAAAATCCTCGCACAGAGAGTGTTAATATGATTGAATCTGATATAGACTTGAACGTTGAAAATTGCTTGAAATATATTATAGATACAATATGTACTGAGTTTGAAAAATGTGATAATTTACATGATACATCAAATGTAATTAAAGACTCTATTCAAGAGAATTTAGAGGAACATAATGAAAATACTAAAGATGGAGATTTCAAAAGTCCTGCAGTTAAGGTTGCTAAAACAATTAAAAATATAACATTAAAATTTAAAAATACCAAAAAGGTTAATGCAAAGAAAAATCAAAGAAAGACGAAAGTAAAAAATGAAACTTCCCCAATAGCACAGAAAGTAGAAACTGCAAAGGATACGAATTTCAGTCCTGTTTCCGTTTCGAATACGAACTTAGAAGAAAATAATAAAAAAACTAAACGTACTTTACGAAATAAACGTAAATTGTACTCACCCAAAGACGAAGTATTTGATGATAAAAGTGATCAGAATGATGACATACGTAATATTACTACTAGCTTAAAGACATATAAAACAAGAGCATTATCTTCTTACAAGGAAATAGAAAAAGAACGCAATGAATACAGAAAGAAATTAAGAACTAAACAACCAAAGGAAATACGAGAAGTTTTTCTGTCTCCAAAAACTCAAAAGATGAATGTCATATTTGACACGCTTAAAAGCAATATTGAAACCAATCAAAATATAACACTAGTCAACAAAAGTAATACATCAAATAATGCTAATGTTTACAATTTCTCGAGCGACAGTGAAGATGATAATTTTAAAACCACTAAAATGAAGAAATTGTCTCCTAAAAGAAGTGCCCTAGAAAAGAAATCTAATCAGAATAATAAGAAAAAGACATATTCAAGAAAAAATGCTAAACCAAAACTAACTATTAAGAAGGAAATACCACTCATAGATGAAAGAATGAGAGAAGCACTTCAGGAAGTACTGGATACGTCTTTCGAATTTAGAAGATCACCAAGAAATATCACTAAGGAACCCGAACCAAACATAAATACAGAACATGAAATGGATGTTATAGAAGAAGGTAAATCTAAATACAAAACAAGTAACAGAAAGGCTAATATTAAATTAGACAAAAATAAAAATTCTCCCTTGAAAAATAAAAGGACAAATATTAATAAAATTACCAATTACATAAAAAGTAAAGAAAAGTTGGATACAACGTTAAGTCCTTTACCAGGATTAACAGTGGAAACAATCCCTAATAAGAATGTAGCTAATGTATCCGCTTCACCCAAGAGATTGGAAAAAATTAAAGAAATGTATGTTGACAGTCCTGGAAGATTCGAAAATACGAATACAACGCATAATTTATTGAAGGATTTGGATCAAACGAGCGATTGTGGCTTCCAAGTGATGGAACATTTTGCTGAAATTCATCATAATTCTCAAGATTCACAATCTTCGAGAATATTACGTTCTCGGAATAAACAATCGCCCACTAAGAAGATTACCGTCGTAAAGAAATCTATTAAGAAGAACAATAAGAAGAATAAACGAAGAGATGAGATCGATCCAACAAGATATGTTATAGATATTTCAGCGGATTCTAACTCTGAAAAATCTATTAACACAGTTGGGATATGCCCTATAACCGCACATGGAGACTTCGAACTGTGCTGTAACGATTTACCACCAGATCGGGACATTTTAAATAAAACTATCGAACCGAGAAATCTCGGATTGGAAGATGAAAACGAATCCATAAAAGATCTTTATTTGCAACTACAAAACGAAGTAATCGATGATCAGATGAATTCATCTAGAAAAAGCTATCGAAATACTACCGAAAGCGTTAATAAGAAATCTCCCTCAAAGATTATGAAAACAATTTCTGATGATTATATTAGATATCTACCATCACCTCGTGATTCAGAAAGTAGCTCTAATCATACTGTCGATGAATTATTGGGCAAACGTACTACTGTCTCCAATAAATCTGATAAAAAATCAACTAGGATATCTAACAATTTGAATAAAAACACATCTCGCAAATCACAAATATCTCCAATAAGATTATTTCACGAAGAACCAACGAAACGTAAATCACAAAGCAATTCTATAGAATCGGATGATGTTAAAAAAATAAGAAATTTATTTTACAAATCAAAATCGAATAAAGATACAAAATCAACAGCAAATAAAACATCACAAAACTCTGATAGTTCAAAGCGAGAATCTTCGAGAGATTCAATAAATAGAATTGTTAAGAGAAAACCTTCTGAATTAGTCGAAACTAATAAAAAAAGAAAAATAGAATCCGTTCAGTCTAATAGTCCAGTGCAAAGTTCAACAAATATTTCGTATTCTAATATCAATAATTGGATAGAAAGCTTGCCCAGCACTAGCACAGGTAAATATTTTTATTAGTTAGTAATACTAGTTAAATAATACGTAAATTTTACCAAATAGGGATAAAAATGTTTAAAAAAAAGAGATGTTTTGAACACCATGTATGTTTTGCCTCAGTTACTCCATTTATGTCTTTATTTTTATAACTTTTGTTAGAAAAAATTTTCTAAATAAATAGAGTACTTACTTGTACCACAGTTGAGGTTTTTTGTTGTAATTCCTGTGAAAACTTCCCCAGCTGGAATAAAGCACACCCACGATGACAATGTTCGATGTATTTTAGAGAAGTTGGACACAACGCTCGCAGAAATACATCACAACACTGATAGAAGGTAATATTGTATGTTTGTAACATTTGAAGGGCTGGTTACAGGTGTGGGGTGCTAAAAGGTGGGAGTAGTAAATTATTTATTAGTGGTAATATTTGTGAATGTGTTAAAATAGAGGTGTAGTAAAAGTTGAGTGTGTGTAAAAGGTTACTGTTTGTAAAATTTGTGTGTTTGTAAAAGTTGAGTGTTTGCAAAAAGTGTTGGTTTATAGAAGTTGAGAGTTTGTAAAAGTTGAGTGTTTGCAGAAAGTGATGATTTGTAAAAGTTGAGTGTTGTTACAGGTGATGGTTTAAAGGTGAGAGATTATAAAAGGTGATGGTCAGAAAAGGTATTGGAAAGTTGAGGGTTTGTAAAAGATATAAGAGTGTATCGATGTTTGCGAAACTGATTCCACAAGTTACGTTTAAACGTTTTTTAATTTCGTTTTAGATTCATAAACACATTTTTGGAGACTCAGAAGCGATTCAGCGAGCTAAAGCGGATACACCACGAGGTGTACGAGGAGGTGCTGAACGATCTCAATCATAAGTTCAAAAGGTACAGTCAGAGAAATAAATTCCCTGTTTATAGAAAATGATATTAAATTTTAATATCATTTTCTATCAACATTTCATGGAAATGGGAAGACTTAATAGATGAATGAGTCTTTCAATGTTTTTTTGATGGATTTTGATGAATTTAAAAAAATTGTTTTTTTTTTATTTTTTACAATTTCTCAATTAATGACTAACAGGTTGCAAGAAATGTCAGATGAAATATTCGAAGATATGAAAAGTAAAATGAGAGATGTGATCACAGAAGATAGGAAACAGAAGATAGCGATGGTTCAAATTCTTAAAGAAGATGTTCAGGCTGTTGTCGATTTTAACGCGAAGAAGAACAAGTGAGACGATGATGTTCACATTGTCTAAACTTGTATTAAAACGTAGAAACATAGGCGTCGCCAAGCGCTATTTCTAACGTTAATTTTTAAGCAAATGTTAAAAAGTTGATACAAATAGATTTTTTTCTTTATTTCTAATTATTTACTTGTGTGAACTTGATTCTTATTTATATTTCTCAATTACAAATGCAATTTTTTCACTATTAATAATTGAATATTTAAGTCTAGGATGTTGAAAAAAATCAAATCTACTTAACTTTTAGCAAATATTTGTTTAGTGAATCTTTTATGTTATATTAATAATAGATATAGCTGGCATGCCAGTTACTGGTATGTGACAGTTACTTGCATGTGTAATTACATCCTGTTATATTTTTATAAAAAAAAAACAATCATAACAAGTTTAACTGGAGTCTAAATTCACAATTCGTTATGTTTTGTTTGATTTGACTTTATTATAACGTTGTTTTCAAAATATAATTTTTTTGTTAAGTTTAATAAGTTTAAGGAAAATAAATATCTTATAAATATTGGGCCTTTTGTTTTTTTCATCTTCCCTACCTTATCCTATTGGCGTAGGGTTTTCATCCTACAAATAACTCTATCATACGTCATCTTATCACTCCCTTGATCATGTCTCCTTTCACGCAATACATTCATCTCTTTCTACGTCTACCTATACCGGTGTACCTCAACATTTCATTATTATAAAATAGAAAAATAGCATTACTTAAAATTATCATTTTTTTTAACGAGCTTAGTTGAAATTTTTTTTTTTATCTTATTATTATTTAATACTTCTAACATTATAAAATTATTTTAAAAACAAAAATTTAAATGCTCTTCTTGAAAAAATGTACATGTTGAATACTGCCATTATTCCATTTTAGCTACGAAATGCGAAAGTTTAGGTGGATGAATGGATGGACCTGTCAGTTTGTAGCGTAATCTGTTGAATGGATTTCGATCTTTAGCATAGGTATGGTGCAAAGTGCAAGGCTACTTACTTTTTTTTTTAAATCCTCGCGGTTAGACTAGCGGACAAAAGCTAGTTTTTATCATAAAAATGTAAAAATAAAACACTATGTATAATTTTCAATATTTATTAACTTCACCACACTTATGACACATACTGTATGTTATCTATTTTACATTCTCATGGAAAGAGCGGGCGAGTTACAATGAATATAGCAAATACAAAGTACTTATTTAAGTGTAAAACGTATTTACATAGCTTACAATAAGAAATCGCACTTGACCTCTAAGTTGTCATGAACGTAACTTAATTTTCAATGTTTGACTAACATTAAAAAACCTTTCAAAATTACCGATTCATGATTTATTTCAAAATTGAATACGGATTTTTTCAAGATTACTGAAGCAGTCTATTAGTGCAGATTAAATTAAATCTATAATAAGAGACTGCCTGAGTTAATAACGACTCAAAGCATACTATAATTGTTTATTGAAATTTGAACCTTATCATTATTACGAATTGATTCAAAATATCTTAACTCAAATTGTTCGGTACATTAAAGCAAAATTCGGATTTTCTCAACTACATCTATATAAAAAATAATAAAAAACCGCACAGAACCACACTAGAGCATCACAACCAGCTATTTTGATCACAGGTTGTACCAATGTACTTTTAAATCTACCCAAAACCCCTCCAAAGTATCACACTGTGCCCAAACAACCAAGGTGTCTGACCAGGAATAAAAAAACACATTGCAGACATTTAAAAAATATAGAGAAGGCAGTGAACAATTTTTTTTTAACCGGAAATTTCTCTGAAAGGTTGTCAAGTTTAGTGCCTTGTGTCCTTGTATTGACTTGTAATAATTTTTTTTAGAAAATTATAGAAGATCCATTTTTGTTATAAAATAAACTAAACATTATTGGTGTCCAAAATGTTTTTTTTTTTATTATTTTAATACAATAAATTACATTAAGATGTGGTTTTGAGGACATACCAATAGATAGCGTTAGTAAGATCATGTGAAAAACGTCTCAAACGAAGTGTCAACTGTCTTCTCTATGTAATCTTTTAATTTCTTTGACATAAATGTCAAGTGTTAAAACACTACATAGTAGAATTCCACTGTTGTATTTCTTGTACCAATTATCGTGATTTTTTATTCCTTGTCAGGCAAAAAAATAATGACATGTGAATAAAAAATAAATTAAAAACAAACCTTAAATTTAATTGTTACAAAATTCATGTCCTGGTCTAAAATTAAAAAAATAAATTCACTCATATTAAAACTAAACATTCAAATACTAAATTTAATGTTTAAGTATGAGTAAGGAGAAATTATAAAAAATTAAAAGTAACTTTTTAAGTAGAAAAATTCGCAAAAACAAAAATAGTTTTTTTTTATTTTATCACTGCTATTGTTATTTTTTTTTTCAAATAATTGGAATGAATTATTATTTAATTTTAGGTATCTTTATAAGTCCTTAAAACGCAGTATTATTAATAATTACGTATATAATTGTTGATAAGAACGACGTAATTATTTTGTATAAAGTACAGTCAGCTGCAAAAGAACAGTAAAAAATACATTTTTTGTGGTATACATATAAAAAAATAATAGAAACATGTCTTCTGATTTTAAAAATGCACGATTTCGTTGCCATTATTAATTACTAGTTGTTGTTCGCGACTTCGTTCGCATGAAGACAAAACATATTAAAAAGCCTATGTTACTTACTGATAATGTAGCTTAGTATTGACTTGGTAGTTTTTGAGTTATTTCAATACATACAAAAATACAAATATGTCCTCTTTATAATATTGGTATAGATCAAAGCATGAATACATATTATATATGACATAATGACATAACATGACAAACGGCATTCTTGCTTTCTTGATGTTGGCAGCAACTTATGGTCTCTTTCCCACATTTGGGTTTTTATCTAAAATATTTACCCTCAAGTTTAATAGCGTAAAAATATATAGCCTAAAGCGTGACGTAAGTGTAGGGCTTTTTATTAAAGAAAGAATTATTCAAATATGGTGTAATTGCTGACATCTTAGGCAACAAAGTGTGTGTTTACGCTTTATTATAATAAGTATAGGTAGAAGTATAGATTTATGCATCTGACTGTACAAATCATATCATTGATCTGAACTAGAGGTAGATATTTACAATACTCTTGAAGCTTTAATTTCCTGCTATTGTATAAAACTCCTGTAAAAATACCAATTTTCACGTTTCTTTCGAAAAACAATGAAAAAAAAACTCAGTTAGAGAACCTGGATACAACAATAATTAAATCTTTTTTTAGTGTGACTTTTTATTTATTATAAATACTAATTTGTTCTTTAAAAATTAAATTTTATATGAACATGATTTATTTAAACAATGTAATAAAGCCTATATACATTTTATGTGCCGCGTTGGAAGAATTAATTGTTTTTTTAAAGTCAAGTAGCTTTACAAATAAACGCGGTATAAAGTTAAACTTAGGAATAAACTTAGTATAAGCAAAATAAGTTTAATTTTTTACTTCGTTTATTTGTAAGGTTGAAGATGTATAGAAAACTGATCGCCGTATTTATTATTTTAATGTTTACTAATGATTCTTATTAGTGTAGATTTAATACTAAATCTCCACTAAGGGTCTGTCATAATTTGTGTCCTTCTTATCGATTTTTTTTTCCGTCTAATAAATGATTGTTTAATGTCTCTGAGTGCGGATTTTATTAACCTTATTATTGTTAATATTAGCTTCCGTTTGTACGTTTTATAATTTTAAGATTTAAACTTTAAACTTATGTTGCATTTACTTTAAAATTACGTACATACAAGATTATTTTAGAAAATATACGATTTTATTAGACCAGTTTGTTGATATTTAAATTTTATATACAAGCGTTAACTATGAAAACTACTATAATACGTAATTAATTTGATCTGTAAGAGAAATGTTATTTGTATAGTGAATCCATTTAATGCTTCATATGGCAACATAGTCTATACAATTGGGTAAAATGGTCAGCTGCTTCAAATCCGCGTCTGTAATTAAATAAACATTATTTTAAACATATATAAGTAATTTCATATTTTTTTTAAAAAATCATTAACTAATATACAAGCTTATTTTTTAAGTACCAAAAAAAAATTGAAACATTAAAAAAATGTACATTAATATCGAAAAATTGCACAAAAAAGATTAATCTTAGTAATATTATAAATGCGAAAGATTAGATGGATATATGTTTGTTAGCGTTTGTAGTTTAAACTGCTGAACGGATTTTGATGAAATTTGGCATAGATGTAGAGGATAGTCTGGATGAACACAGGCTACTTACAATGTTTTTTTATTACACGCGGACGGAGTTACGGGAAAATAGGTAGAACTTCTTTTGGGCGTTATTGATCCTTAATTCGATAGTGTCCACTGTTCGAACCAGAGACCATGTTTAAATCCAGCATTTTTTACTCTGTGACAATCTTACAAGCTAATCTATGGCGACGCTTCCGTTCTCTTTGAATCCGACCTCGAAAGAAAGGGGAGCAAGTGTAAAAAAGCTAGAAATTGTACCATACATTTTGTAACAAAAATACAAAGTTATAGAAAATCAAAAGGGATTTTATTTTGCTTCATTCAACAATGAACACCCACAAAATTAAAACAACTATGAAACTAGCGAAAAGTACGTGTAATTTTGATTTTAGTGTGTTGGTAACATTACTTTTTTTTTGCTAAAAAGGCTCCATCGAATTAAGGATAAATATAGGAAAACGCATCTGTAAATACGATATATATAGCGTCAGGATTTAATTCCAGTGGCTGTGTTTTACATATTTCACTTCTTTAAAAAAAAAATCTTACTAATATTATAATAGAAATGCAAAAGATTAGATGGATGGATGTTTGTAGCCTAAACGGTTGCACAGATTTCGATAAAATTTACTTATAAAGTCTGGAAGAACACAGGCTACTCAATTTTTTAATCCCACGCAGACGAAGTGGCGGGCGAAAGCTACTACTAGGTAGCACTTACATGAGAAGTCAGCGCTTAGTGTGGAACTCATTGATGCAGAGCGCGCAGGACCAGGAGCCCTCGGGCGGCGTGTCGAGCGGCGGCGCCAGGCAGTACATGTGGTAGCCGCGGTCGCAGTCGTCGCAGAACAACAACTGGTCCTGGAAATAAACATATTTAATATAAGTTTTTTTATAACATAAGGTGGCAAACGAGCAAGCAGTTACCTGAATGGCCAAAATGGCGAAGCGACCGCTGCCCATAGACATCCGTAATTGCAGATGCGTTGCCTACCGTTATTCGACAGAGGAGGAGAAGCACATAAAGAGGATATTTCCCTTTCCTATGCATCGCCTCCTCCGTCAAATCCACTTTCCCTTCACATCCTATCCTTATAAGAAAAGGGTGGTAAAGAAAAAGAGATTTAAATTAGGCCTCCGGCACCACACTCATCAGACGAAACACGGAATTGCTTCCACTTCACGGCTGTCTTCTGTGTGGTCGTGGTATTACTGGGGGCGTGCCGGCACTGCAGTGCTAAGACGTTAGAGCGGGCACTACCAATTCATAAGTACAATTTTACTATCTAACTAGCTGTTTCTGTGCTGCTTCATCCGCATGAAATTAGAAATTTTTTATTTTATGGTTTACATTTGTAAAATTCTCAATTGCCAATGTCAAAAAATGCACAAGTGACAACCATGGCAATATTGCTTTCTTGAAGTTGTCAGCTTGGACTTTATGCTCCTTTTCCCAAGGTTTATTTCCAATTTATTTACCCCTTAAGTTTAACAGCGTGAAAACATATAGCATTTTATTAAAGAGGGAATTATTCATAAATACGCTGTCATTTCTGACATCTTACCCCACGAAGTAGTGTGTTTAAGTTTTATTATATTAGTATAGATATAGATATTTCCCATTTATTTAAATGGGGATGAACTTTACAAACGTAAAAAATTGTTGACCACCTCTGGAATGGTACAGGGGTGTAACATGTTATAGTAATATTTTACAAATATTATAAATGCTAATGAATGGTTCTTAAAGTTTGCCGTCTTAATTAATTAAACAAAACAAAACATACACAGTTGTAGTTGTACAGCCCTGATATTATGATTCCAGGGGTACTCAACACTACAAAAAATATAAATAGGAGAGATTTGTATGTATTGAAATAACTCAAAAACTACTGGGCCGATTTTAAAAATTCTTTCACCGTTAGAAAGGTAATTTATCTGTCAGTAAAATGGGCTATATTTTTTTGTTAATTTCACATGAGTGAAGTCGTATTTGATATAATACTAACATCATTATCGCTGGTGCCGCAGACGGAGCAGCACTTGCACTCGATGCATTGCCACCGGTACTTGCGCACCGACACTATCATGTTCACTGTGAACTGCAGGCACGTCGGGTGACCTGCATATGTCATATATTTTAAATGTATCACATTAAAATTTAATTAATATATGATATTCATTGAAAATATAACTATTTAAGTCTTAATTTTACATCCTAATTATAATATAGCAAAAAAACTTGCATTTTTTAATATTTTTTCACTGCTTAAAAAAAAAAACAAAAAATGTCGGGTATTTTTTACCAACATACCAAATTGTTAATTATAAAATTTACCACACTTTAATATGCTTAATTTAAAAAATGGACTGAAGTGTACAATATAAAATGCTAAAAAAAATTAAATTTTCAATGAATACCATAGAAATAATTCACATATTGTATGGCACATCTTACCTTCACGTGAATCCATATTACTCAAATATCTACATCACAAAACTAACAACACCGTAAAGGGATCATGTGCCGAACAATAGTGAAAATAAATAAACATAATTAGAAAAAAAAAACATTCACAAGTTAATTTTTTAACAAAGTATCAATTATACTAGGAAGTGCACCATTTCACTATTCTTCAGCACACTACAATAAAAAAACGCCAAAGTGTTTCAACTTTAATATTTATATAGGAAAAAAAATATTACACCGTGTACAAAACAAGTCATAACCGGCCTTATACTATGCGTACAGTCTGCAAAAACATCAATAACATAATTTTCAAAAATAATTAAAACAAAAACCATTATCATAATAACTTCAGAAATTTTCATGTCTATTTTAATGTTTCGCCGAAATGGCGAACTTCCATGTTTAAAGATATTTTTCCAGACTATACTTGCAAACAAAAACATATCTTTGGATTTTTCTACAATGCACTTCCGTACTATATCTTGATACTTTGGAATATTTGGAACACTAAAACATATAGTATATATAAATTTAACGTCAATATATCTGTCTCTAAACTTCCTAAAACTCTAATATATAAACATTATTAATTTAAGTAAATAATATACACGCCGTAGAGTAATTAAAATATTAATTTTAAAACAACAAAAATATATGGAAATAATGAAATATTCTATAGTTTAACATTTCTTCAAACATATAAGACAATTTGCCATTTCAAAAACTGGGTAAAATATTAACCAACCAGAATCTCTTTAATATGCCATTAAATATATCTATGTATATATTTTAACACCAAAGTATATATTGGTAACTAATACTAGTATATATATTTCGAATTGTCATCATTTAAACATATTTTAAACATAACACAATTAAAACTTAAGCATATGTTAAACTTAAAATAAAAAACTAAAAACAAACAATATATTATAGGAATGATTGAATTTCAATAAAACTTAGTCTTTGTAACTTAAAATTTAGTATCAAAAACAATATTCGATAGACTTTTACAAAAAATCTTTCGCTCCTTTGAAAAAAAAATAGCAACAATTTTTTTTTCGAATTAAAAAACGAAACAAAACTGTCTCATTCCAATTGAAATTATATTTTAATATTTTTTATTAAGTTATTTTTATAAAAAAGTCTATCAAATATATTATTAAAAATCGAGACCTAATTTATCTTTGGGATAGGTTTCTTGTGAAACATCACGGTACACAAAACGTAAAGGCACTTTGCAAGCTCCACTTTAACAATTAATATTGCTTCAAAGAGATATGTGCTTTAGATATTTTCGAAATTACACAGAGTAAATTTTTTTTATAAAAAACATCAAAGAATTTAACAATTATGTAACCGACTGTACATATGACATATGAAAAAACGGAGGAACTTTAACAAATTTAAATCAAAAATTATTGTTACCAAAAAAAACATACCATGAATTTGGCGTATATTGACTAGACTTAAAAAACCTAGGTATTGAAGTACAGTCACCTTCGCTGGTAGTGTTCGAATTACAAAAACCGTTTGGAGTCGAAGAAGTCACATTGTAGATTTCGACTATGGATGGATTTGTGCAAAATCATACCTTTGTTTATAAAAAAACTTAGAAATCAATACGTTTGACCTAAGTGAATTGTCAAGAGTATATTTTTGGGGCAAGCCCAAAGCATTGCCCTTATTAATTTCTTTGGCTATTCGATCCGCTGTTAAAAAAATCTTCTTTATGGCCAAGATATTTGAAGATAGTGATTATGTAATTGAAATACCGCAAGCGAAGGTGACTGTACAAAAACATACACCATCAATACGTTAAACTATTAAAACGGATAAAAACGTTATGTATTAAATTTTATCATATGGAAAATCAACATTTAAAAAAATATATTATCAAAAAAAATGTAACATTTTTGTTCAATTATGAAACTATACAATTAATATTGTAATGCTATAAACCCATTTAGTTGTAATAAAATGTTTTTAAATTTCCCTATGTAAATAAGATATTATTGCTGAAATAGTTACAAAAAAATTATTGCTAGCATTTTATTTTTTATAAATATTGGTAGATTTGATCACCATTCACCAACCTTTTAAAACTTATCAGGAATTAAAAACATGTTAAAAATCGAAGGCACATTCCTATAATAGGGAAGATAAAAAACATAACACAATATTATATTTTTTTGGCAATCAATATAAGCAACAATTTTATTAAATTTTTACTAATGAATTATTAACTTTTTAATAATTATTTAAAATTTAGTCTAAACCTTTTTTTTAAATTTTTTGGCAATCAATAGGATTTTTTAATTTTAAAGTATAAAGAACAATAAAATTTAAATATATGCCACATATTCAAATATAAACAACAGTAAAGATATATTCGTAAAAGAGTGACAAAGTCGATACAATCGCACAAAAAAATACTTATACATATATCTA